TTACTGCGGACGGGGCATCTAAAGGAAAACCCTCAAAAAATTGGACGTTGCGAAGTGGTGGAACTTGCGATGGGTAGAGCAGGAAACGGGTTAAAAGGGTTTCCCAGCACTTCTATTTCGCCAGTTCTGGCTTTTATTGGGGAACAACCTTTGTAGTAAAGAATATAAAGAGATATTTATTATACACGTTGGGGTTCGGATTAGTGGAGCATAATTGCACGGCTTTTCTTTTTGGGTTTTGTTTATTTTTCTGTATGGTAGAAGTAAGGCTTACATTATACAAACTGAATATGTCTCCTACTTCGGTCAAATCATGGAAACAAATGAACAGAAACAAACATATATTTTATGAAGTTCCTATTATCCCAAAACAAACTTTCTACAACAAGAAACGTAAAGAAAACGCATTAAATATCAAATCCTTTATTCTCCTAAAAGAATCATTCGAGAGAAATTACGAAGGAGCAGATTCCAAGCCCCTTCCTCTCCAGAACCCTCCGCGTGGAGGAACTATGGGGTGGGTGGGGCAGAAAAAAAAAAAAAAATCAAACCCTTTCTAAACATTCAGCCAGATCTTCTTTTAGAATACAACAAAACCCAAGGAACGAAGAAAAGCACACAAACCCCCAAAGCTTAGACTATTACAGACCAAAACCCGACACATATTCTTTTCACAATCTCCTATAAAACTAACTGCATCAGCAATACAAAGGAGGAACCCTTCGGACGGAACGAGCGCGGGAACAGATCCTGAGCCAGTACGTAGAAGCAAGGACCAATGCCAAACTCGAATGCAGCAAGGAACACAGCAATCCCAGTGATCACAACACCGTTCTTCGCACTTGTAGATGCCACGCCAGGCCACACAGGGACACCACACAGAAACAAACATGCAAGGGATGCAGTGAGCGAACACGCAAGAAACAACTGACGCATCGTGAAGTACGAGGCAAGCGGGATCGAGAACAGAGTCGTCACGAAGTTCCACATCATCACCACAAAGTTACCCACAAGAGGCTCCATCCCCAAGCTGCTCATGATCGTCGGCGCATAATTCATCACAGCATTGATACCAGTCAACTGCAACGTCCCAGCAGTCACA